AATACAAAATTATAGAAAAAAGGAACCTGGACTTTAGTTTAAACACAGCTGGAATAATCCACAGCCGCGACAGCAGCAGCGGGAGAAGAGATTTAATTTAGTTGATCTTCTGTGGTTGTTGGTTTTTCACTAGTCTCACGGTGATGGAAGCTGCACATTTTTTTGAAGGGACCAAGAAGCTGCTGGAGGTTTGGTTCTCCCAGCAGCAGCCCGACGCGAACCAAGGGTCTGGGGATCTTTGCATCATCCCAAGATACGAGTGGGATATACTTTTGAAGGATGTGCAGTGTTCAATCATAAGTGTGACAAAAACTGACAAGCAGGAAGCTTATGTACTCACTGAGAGTAGCATGTTTGTTTCCAAAGAGATGTTTCATTTTGAAGACATGTGGTACCACCCTCTTGATGAAAGCACTGGTTCCCCTCTTTAAGCTTGCTAGGGATTACAGTGGGTTTGACTCAAATTCAAAGCTTCTTTTATTCTCGTAAGAATTTCATGAAGCCTTCTCACCAAGGGTACCCACACTGGAATTTCCAGGGAGAAATAGAATTTCTTAATGCAGTTTTTCCAATTGGAGCAGCATACTGTATGGGGCGCATGAATTCTGACTGCTGGTACTTGTATACTCTGGATTTTCCAGAGAGTCGGGTAATCAGTCAGCCAGATCAAACCCTGGAAATTCTGATGAGTGAGCTTGACCCAGCAGTTATGGACCAGTTCTACATGCAAGATGGTGTTACGGCAAAGGATGTCACTCGTGAGAGTGGAATTTGTGACCTGATACCAGGTAGTGTCATTGATGCCACACTGTTCAATCCTTGCGGGTATTCAATGAATGGAATGAAATCAGATGAAACTTAGTGGACTATTCACATCACTCCAGAACCAGAATTTTCTTATGTTAGCTTTGAAACAAACTTAAGTCAGACCTCCTATGATGATGACCTGATAAGGAAAGTTGTGGAAGTCTTCAAACCAGGAAAATTTGTGACCACCCTGTTTGTAAATCAGAGTTCTAAATGTCGCACAGTGCTTTCTTTGCCCCAGAAGATTAAAGGTTTTAAACGTCTTGATTGTCAGAGTGCTTTGTTCAATGATTACAACTTTGTTTTTACCAGTTTTGCTAAGAAGCAGCAACAGCAGAGTTGAATAAGACAAATGAAGAGAAAAAAAAAACGCAAAATAGAGAAAACAAATAGAAGGTGGTGGCTCCTATCTAGATATTGATACTGGGGGCAATGCTTTCCATAACCACCACCTAGTAGTTGCAGAAAGCCCTAGATGTAATCATAGTGTAATCATTTTGAATTGTATGCATTATTATATCAAGGAGTTAGGTATCTTGCATGAATGCTCTCTTCTGTGTTTAGGTATTCTATGCCACTCTTGCTGTGAATTTGAAATGCATGTAGAAAAAAACTTTGACTGTATGAAACTTTACAACCGTTGAAAAAACAATTCAATTTGGTTTATGCACAGTGTAATATTTCTCCAGGTATCACCCAAAATTCCCCACAGACAAGGCTTTCGTCCTCATTAGGTATTGGCCTCAGCCAAACCATCTAGGACTGTTCTATTAAATAGCTTCCAGAATTTTATATTCAGTTACCTCCAGTTTCTAGAACATATTCTTAAAAAGGTTATTGAAACCAATTTCTACTTCACAAAGATGTTTTTTGCAACAATTAAAAATGTTTCTTCCATGAAAAAAAAAATAAATGTCAATGTTGTGGAAGAAGAGCTAGAGAGGGCTGTTCTAGGTTGAAAAAGACTGAAGCAATGTAACAACTGGTTTTAAAAACAATCTTTAAGACTCTTTTTAGACAGTGTGGTAATTTTTATATGCTCTAGATTTTTACATGATGTTGTGTAGTTGTTAATATAATGATGTTACTGTGGTTATAAGCAGATTCTGCTAATGCAGCACTACCCATGAGAATTAGAATGTAACCTGTGTGCTGGATGGTAGAATCCTCCAGTAGCAGAACAGGAGACAAAACTGGTATTTTAGGGTTAGGGAATTGATTAAAGCTCCTCATTATGCAGCAAGTGTTCGCTGAGTCTTTCTGTGCGCGAGAGTTTGTGTTAATGGTACAATAATTCGCTGGCTGAATTATAGTTAACATTTTAAGAAGAGCAAAGCACACCAACAAATATCTGATGTAATGTCAGATAGCAGTGAGAGTGAGTGCAATGAAGTAAAAGAAATGGAGCAATTAGAGAGTATCAGGGTCTGCCATCAGATTGGAAGGGAATTTGTAAGAGAGAGAATGTGGCAAGTTTTCAGGTTCCTGTTTGTGACTTGAGTAGGTGGTGTGGCCACAAGGTTAGACTTTAGACAGTAATGATAAAAAAATTCATTTAGCACAGCATAGAAACATCAAGAGGGAACCCTAGAAATTACCATCATAGGAGAGAGAAAGGGAAACAATGCAAACTTCTAAAGAATACAGAAGGCATCTGCAGAGAAATGGGAAACACTACAAAACTAAGAGATCTTCAGAAAGGTGAACATACTTATTCTTTAGACATTTTTTAAGGTAAGACTTAGAAAATGAGTAGTGGGTTTCTCACATAACTCTTTTTAAGAGTGTTAGTCCATCCTAGTGCCCAGGGTAGAAACTATATTGTTGTTGTTGAAACCATGTTATTGTTATGTCCCATCGAATTGCTTCCAACTCATAGCGACCCTATGTCCAGCAGCCCTAAACCCTTTTATATCCTGTGCCAACCTTTTTTGTCTCTGACACACCTATTCCCATTACCCCAGTGAATCAATCCATCTCATAGCTAAGGAGTAAATGAGAAGTTATATAAAAGAAAATGGAATTTCAGAACTCAGACTCACCATTGTTAGATCAGTAACTCTTCCCTCCTCCGTCTCCCCATTGGCCTTCCAAGGCTGTCAGTTATAATTTGAGGAGCCTGCCTGTCTTCCTCCTTAGAAGCAGCTAGTAGATTGATAGAGGTGTAAATCATCAAACTTTTGATAATGCCTGTTCTGAGTAAGAGTGGTAACATGTACTAGAATTCGAAGACAGTTTTCTTTCTGAAATGCTTTGATGGTAAATTTGTGATTCTGAAGCCTCCTATAAGGACACCTGACAGAATAAACATCTGAATCTTTATACCCACTAACTCGAGTCTTTTTCATTACTGTGTTGTTACCAAAAATTACTTTTGGGTTTTAGTTGACAATTTTGTGATAACTACTGTTTAAAAATACAAACTGCCTATGGTTTTAATCAGTCACCTTTTTCTCCTCCTCTTAGCTGTTTTCATCTGTCACCTTTGAAACTGTTGAAGAAAGTAAGGTAAGATCATTAAATCGGCTACCAGCTTCTAACTTTAGAAGAAACGTGAATAACTAATTTT